TACGGTATCCCTCCACAAACTTTTTCATGTACACGGTCCGGCCACCTTGGTTGCAGTAACACATGGCGCCCTCTGACTCAGCCACCCCTTGGCAACTGCCTCCGTAGTCGCCAATCACAAGGTTGTCGACCATATAACGGCGTTGGTTGAACAGAGAAGCCAAAAACGTATTAATGTCCTTAAGCCACTCGCGGTTGTTCAAAGCCTGTGAAAGTATCTCGCCCGCTATCCACCCTGCAACCATCATCTCGCCCGCAATATCATCGTCGGGGAAGTTCTTGCGAAGACTACTGCTTTCCGGCAAAAAATTCTCCATGTAGCTCCGCATCACCCCCTGAAAGCGCTGGATAGCGGCGTAATGAATATCCTCCGCCAGCGGGTTCGTCCCCGTCGCGATCACCTGCCCAGACACAAACTTAATACCACCAGCCACAGCAGAACGCCACGTTTCGACAGTGATGTCCTGCACCGCCGAGGGAACAAGCAGGTAAGCGCCAGCGGTGCGATTGTCCGTCAACATCCTCTGAATGAATTTCGCGGTGTCTTTTATCGGTGATCCAAACACAATCACGGCCTGCGGCATAGTATTCGCAAACGCTTCCCACGCAGCGTCGAACACTGAGTTTTCGGCCTCATGAGTCAAGGAGCTCTTCACAGCGAAGACACCGCTCAAATTGTAGCCAAAACGCGTCATCACTTTTTTCGTTTCGTCGTACTCCTCATCACCGAAAGAAACATCCTCTAGATACATGAAGCCCAGCCGACGCACCCGTAGTTGGGCCAAGGCGTAGCGGATCAGTGCAAAAAGCTCGGCCAATGGATCAGCACGCACAAAGTATAGATGTTCGTTCCACTGCCGTACCAACGTCGACCCGGTAAATGGGGCAAATGAAACAATTTTTCGATTCGTAATGACGGGCAAATAGTAATGCAAGGTCGTATCACCAATGACATTAGCAAGAATAAAAATGCTAGGATCAGCATTCAAAGCTTCTTCAATGGCCTTACCGGATTCAGCCATCGTGGTCGATTTATTGATGAGGGTCACACGTACATTCTCCCCAACAATGTAATTACGTGACCATAATGCCGCAACAAATCCGTGGTGAAGTGATTCCGTAATGTATGCGGGAATTGGGAGATCCGTCACATTGAGGGTTAAAACCTTTACTTCAATCTCGGGGCATGCAGCCTGCCCAACTCCGCTCTGCGGGAGAAGAAGCAGCAGCAAAACGAGGTAGAGCGCATACGTGGAAAGTCGCCACCCCAAAAGTGGGATGCCACCACAACAGCCCGTTTCCTTATGCAAACCCGGCCCTTGCCGCGCCGCCGCCATCATCACCGCCCATCCCGTGACCATATTCGCCGCCCAATTATTACCGTGCTGCGTAGCCTGTTGTCTTCCTACAACATGGGGAGGAAAAAGAAAAAAAATAGAAGGGAAGCAAGGCGAGAGGAATAACACACACAATAGAGGGAGATGCGGTTCAATGGGATCGGGGTTGGCGACAGTGACGCACGTCAATGCTCTGCTACGCATTCTTCACGCCTCCATGGAAACACTCCGCCCACTCGTCCACATTGCGGCCAGAAGTTAGTCACAAAAGACAAAAGCAACGGCACCAATTCAACAGAACGGTGGAATTCACATCAGTGGAGCTGGAACACTCTTCCCAAAGCTGAAGACAAAACAACAGAAGAGGCAGGGTAACATCCCATTTTATCTCACCGTAATGCTTCTGGCTATACACACACGCACAAAAACAAAAACAAAAACAACAAAACAACAACAAAACACGGCTTCTGAGCCTAAATGGCAAACCTTTAAAAACGAGGCGCTTCGGTGGGATCTGCAGAATCGCTGGACCCTGCAGTAAGGTGAAAAATCCAAAGAAACGGTGGCTGTCCAAAAGCAAAAAATAGATTTGAACGCCTTCCTTCAATTAATTCAAGCACCAAATGTCGGTAAGAGAGGCCCACAAAAAAATAAATAAATAAAGAAATAAATAAGCCATGGAGAGAATGTGTATAGGTTGGGTGGGCTCCCTCCTTTTCATGGGTTTCCAATAAAATTTCCTGAAATGTATGTGCATAAATTGACAAGACACGCTTCAGTGCAAACGCACAATCGATTTCCGACGTTTCCAATACCAAAATGAGAGGTCTGTGCTCCTCGTCGCTGCGCTTCTATTAATAGGAGAGAGCGAGGCCACCAAACAACCCCTCATTGCCCAGGAGGCAGGCCCACGAGAGAGTGGAATAGAGTCGACGCAAAGTAACTTATAAATGCGGCACCCTTCCCATGACAGCATTCACCTGGATGCCGTGTGGGAGATGTGTGTTCTTACCAAAAATGGCCTCGAGATGGAAAGAGGGCACACACAAAAAAAGAAAAAAAAAGGTCAGCACTGATGCGCCCAGTACCATCAAAGATAAACAGAGAAGTATCCCCCCACAAAGTGGATTGATGGTCAGTAAGCATTTCCGTTGCTCAAAATACAAATAAATAAATAAAATGGGAAGTAGCCAGGTCTCCTATTACGGCCGCATGCAACAAACAGGTTTCGAGATCCTTCCAGTACCATTATTGTCACAACGCATCCCAAAATCTTTTAGAAACCCCGCCATCGCACAAAAAGAAAATAGGAGCCAAGGCCAGCGTGATGCGGATGCGAGGAAGATTCCGCTTCTCATTTTCATTTTCCGTCTCGGTGCGCAGCAAATTCACAGATCGAGTTCAAACACACAAAGTACTGGGAAATTGAGTGACGATGCGGACTCTCCAATGCCATGTCGCAAAAAAAAAAAAGTAAGAAAATTGCAGTCAATCAAACACGGCCTGCAGACAAAAACCGTTCCGGGATCAAACACCTAACCCCTTTGAGGATCATTCAGAAGAGTCGATCGAAAACATCAATATAGCCGAATTCCCCGCCAGCCACTCAAACGCAGTAGAAGAATTAAGTGTAGGCGCCCTCGCAATAAGTATTGCGTGTCCCCCGCGTTCATAACCCAGAAACCTTTCGCCCCTCTGTGCCCGTTTTTTTATTGCTCTTGTCTTCTCGAAAGGGTTTGGCGGCCGCTCCGGCCAGCCGCCGGAGAGAGGGCTTTGGCGGGGGGCGCGGGAAGCACACCACCGTCGCGCGCTTCCCGGACCAGCGCGGCGGCCCGGCATCCCGCCGCCGCCAAGAATCGTTAAAACGACAGGCCGATAAGCCAATTAATCAATAAATAAAATGGAATAATCTTCTGGGCAGCTGGCCGGATCCTGAAAACCTATGGAAACCAAACAAGTTAGGGAAAAAAGGTTCGTTAGTTAATTGCTTCAATGTTTTCTTTTTATTCAATATATATAGAATTCTGTGGACCACCAGCATGGTCCTTTGTCCTCAGTTAGGGTTTGAATATTGTTACTTACAAAGTGGCAGACTTTGGGGTCCTCCAGCCACAAGACCCCGCCGCGTGGTGGGAATCAAGGGGGTTAGGGTGGGATGGCAAAATAAAAACAAATATTATCCGGCCTCTATCGGCTCCCCGCCCCTACAAAGTGGCGTCCTTCCCAAAAGATTCATACGGTAGAGAGTATCATAAAGAATGCATTCATTTATCAGGATATAAACATACATTAATTAAGTTAGCCGGCTCTCCCACGATCATTCTTTTCACAAGCTCCTATAAAAATGAGGGGGCGTCCGCCACAAAGAGCCGCGTCGCGTCTGCGAGGGACTTCCTTCCTTCTCCCCGCGGAAGGGCGCGGTTGGGGGCGGAAACTTTCCAGCTCGAGAATAAAACGCGCCCACCATTTCGTGTGGCACATCTCCGATTACCCGGCGCCCACGCCATCCTTTTGCCTAATCGCCTGCAGAGCAGCAACGGGGTAGCTGCAGGGTTGCCTCTTCGCACCGGTCGCATTGGCCGGGTTTTAAGATGTCCGGCCGTCACCGCGGCATGCCGTGCGGCGGCGGGTTGTGTTTTTCCATCTTTTGTTTTTGTTCCTTTTTCTGGTGTGATAGGTTGTTGGATGTGGGTAAAAATTGTTTTTAGCACACTGCTGTTTTATAGTGGGATTTGGTGTTCGTTGTTTGTTTTTTTGAGTATTTTTTCGGCTTTTATGGTAGTGAGTTGCGTTGATGAGTTTTTGTTTTTGAAATCTTATTGTTATTTTTTTTTTTTGCTCGTATGAAAATTAAACAGTGAAATTAGTATTCGTGTAAAGAGTAATCGACTAACGGTGTTTTTTTTTTTTGAATTTTTGGTGTTTGACGTTTTTTTTTTATTTTTGATGTTGTTTCTTTTCTCTTTTTTTGTCGTTTTGGCGGGATTTTCCCATTCTTAGAATTTAAGTGAATCATCTATTTCATGTTTTTTTTCTTATCCATTGTTTTGCTTTTTTTGGCTTCGTGTGGCGCCAGTGGTTTACTCCCACTGGACGTGATTCCCGAACGCCTTAATCGCGGGGAGTTTTTTTGTTCACCCGTTGGTGAAGACGGTGGTAACCTTTTCGACGAGGAATATTTTAATAAGACTCCGGCAACATTTCGGCAGCTTGTGGATCATTCGAAAAATGGAGGCTCTACGTTTGATCAACGCTATTGGGTGGATTATTCAGCGTGGAATAAGAGTGAATTGGCCATGCTTTATATCCGAATCGGATCTGGAGATTTTACTTCTCCCAGAGGATATCCTGGAATTTACGGGCATGAACGAAATATGTTGCTTTTTACTTTGGAGGGTCGATACTATGGAAAAAGTCTTCCGTTTCCTTTGACGGAGACAGAAAAACTGAAAAAGTACCTCAATGTGGATATTGCCTTGGAGGACATACGTGGTTTTCAGAAGTTTGTTGAGGAAAAGCTCCTTCAGAAAAAGCTTCGTTGGCTTATAGTGGGAGGGAGCTATGCTGGCGCTTTAGCTGTGTGGTTCAAGGCAAAATATCCAACAGCCGCTTTGGCTGTTTGGAGCAGCAGTGCGATTGTTGAAGCTCAGTTTGATTTCTATGGTTTTGATGGGCGTGTCAAGTCTGCAATTTCACCGGAATGCGTCCGCGAAATTTATGCTGTACAATCATTGTTTTCTGAGTTGTGGGAAAATGAAACCGCTCGGGTGAGTTTTTTGAACCGATTTAATATTCCACACTATTTTGACAAATCTGGTATATTGTACATGATGGCCGATGCTGTGGCAGGTGCGGTTCAGTATGGAAAAAAATGGAAAATGTGTGATCTGATTACGCAGAAAAATGATATGGATATAATGGGGCGTTTTTTTTATATGATTAACCTTATTTATGGACAATCATTTACTACCAGTTGTATTTACAGTACGGAATGCTTGTCGAACAGCACAATGTCAAATCAATGGGTAGGCACGGGATATGCATGGTTTTATCAATCCTGCAGCGAACTGGCATTTTTTCAGGTAGGCTATTATAATGGTCTTCGATCTCTTGAATTGAATACGGAGTACTTTGTGAATCAATGTCGTTCGGCTTTTGGAGACTCCGTTTTTCCAGATGTCTTTCGCTTCAATGTTAAATGGGGAGGTAAATACCCTAAAGCCTCAAATGTGGTTGCAACACATGGATCGTCCGATCCATGGATTGACTCTGGAGTCACGACAACAAATGGGCCTGGCTATCGAGTTCTTATTGCGAACTGTGCGGACTGTGGGCGGTCTGGCGATCTTGCGACTCCACGACCAACGGATTCAGAAGCATTACAATTACAGAGAGATGAATTGGCCTTATTGTTGGATACTTGGATGACAAGTGAACGCGTCTCCTATAAATTTGTCCTCGGCGGCAGCTTTATCAGCCAGGCCTTGCTGGAGAAGGAGAAATTGATGAAAGCCATTCAGAGCGATCTTCATGATTTTTTTGATCACAGTGCTGAAATCCATGACTTTGAATTTGATCGTACAAGTGAAAAACTGACCATTACCTTTGTTTTCTATGCAAATCGTATGAATAAAGAGCGTATATCTTCTTTCTCACGCAATATACGGAAGAATTCCTCTTTTCTCTTGGCTACAAAAAAAACACTTTCTCATTTTAGGGTTGAAGATGAGGCTTTGGTTATTGCTTTTGAACAGATTTCAACACCAATTATTGATGAAAATCCGATGAATGAAAATGAAGTGATATACCTTTTGCGCTATATGGGATTTTTTTTACTGTTTCTAATTTCATTTGCTGTGATTGCATGTAAATACCGCATTCAGAAAAACAAAAACAAACAAACAATTCTTATTCCATAATGTAAAGGTATAGCATATGTGTTTTCTTTTTATTGAAAATGTGCTCTGTGGCAAAATGGATATGCGTCCCAGTCAATTTATTCTTAGGAACTTATAATGGCGATATCGAGCGATAGAAATTAGTGTTGCTTTCATTTTTCAATTTTTTTTTTTTTTTTTTTTTTTTTTTTTTTTTCATTCTCTCTCTCTCCCATCTTTTGTTGTTGTTGTTGGCTTTTTAAAAGGCATATCTAGGAGCTGGTAAAGGCTTGATGATGGCCCTTTTAGTGAGAATGGCCTCCACTCAGGACGGATTGCGACTTGGATGATTTGGATTGGGCTTGGCCTTTTTCTGAGGCATTCTGCGTGGCCAGATTTGAAGAAGTTAGCTCTTGCTCTCATAATTTCTATAGTAAATTTTGGAGGAAAATTTTTTGTTTTCGCCTTTATTTTTTCGATATGAGCTGCGCAAACCACTAGTTTAATTTTTGATGGGATTTTGAGGATATATACATGTACGTAATTTAAGGAAATTGCTGATTTTCTATTATTATTATTATTATTATTATTATTATTATTATTATTATTATTATTATTATTGTTATTATTATTATTATTATTATTATTATTATTATTATTATTATTATTATTATTATTTTCATATATATATATTGGTAACGGTTGTAGCTACGCTTATTTTATTTTAATTTCACTTTCTACTCAAATGGATATCCATATTTCTATGTGTCTTTTTGTAAATGAATGAGAATAAATCATCGTAGGACCATTTGAATTGCTTTTTCTATGGTTAATAACAACGTAATCCTTCAATAACTTACATGATGTGCCTACATTGGATTTTATATTTCACGGCACTGATGAAAACTTTACTGATAATTATGAGCTGATTGCTGGGCTGAGCCGTGTATTAAGCTTTTTTAAATATTTTTGTTTCTACCTTTTACTATTGGTTGTTTAATTACGAGTGTAAACTGCTTTTTAGCGTTCCTTTACAATGGAGCAGCCTGAGCATGTGTTGTATCCGAGTGAGGAGATGATGGTGCGCTTAATAGAGGAGCAACTTTGGTGTGGCTACGAAGGCATTGAATCATCGGTTGGACTTCATTTGGATGACGAAAATGCCACGTATTTGCGTGAATCTTTGTTTCCCACTCTCATTCCGGCACTTCACGATTTAGTTAGGCGTGAACAGCATCGAATATCAGAACCATTAGCATTCCAAGAGCGATTCCAAGCAACAGGAAACACCCATCCAGTGACATGGCTAGCACAGTACCTTCTTCGTAACAATACACATCACAGTACTAATCTTCGCAGTCATCCATATGTGTTGGTTAACAATGAGGTACTTAGAAAGCAAAAGGAAACTATAAAAGTAAGGGACTTTCGAGATATTTAGTCTGTCTACAATGTCTTTTTTTTTTTTTTTAAACTGCACAACTGTGGACGTACTTTGCTGTTTTCCAAAAGGAGGAGATAAAAAAAAAAAAAAAAATGGAGAGAAGCAGTTGCTTTTGCGGAAAATGTGGTGTGTATGTACGCATTTGTCATATATTTTTGCGACGTAAATTCTGAGTAGTCAAATAAAAAAGAATACTTGTGAAAACAACACAAAACAACATGAATGCGTGAGGATTGATCTTTACACGTGATGCCATCTTTTTTTTTTACCAATGTGTATGAAATTTTGACAGGAAGAAAAAAGACGGGCATTGCGTTTCAGTTTTGAAGGTTATTGTTTTTCACCTTTTCTTTATCCATTCTGCTTGGTAGTTGGAAAGTCCTTTATGGAGTTGGACTTGGATGCGGTATCACAGGTACTGGAGAGGTTTTTGGGCACGTCCTCTTCTCAACGGGGTTCTCTGCCAGCTTCAAAAGTGAAGGCAAGTAAACGCACACCCTCCCAGCCTCACGGTGGGCCTCACGGAGATTCTTTCCACAGGGACGATGGAAAACGGGAGCTAAAGGCGGGCACAGAGACGAATCAGGAAAATTTTATTGAGAAGGATTGCGGGACACAAGAAATGTTGTTTTTGCCACGAGAGAAAAAGCAACGACAAAAACAACAGGAGCAACACTGCAAACACCATAAACCTTCCACAAATTTTGTTATTTCCTCTAATCAAGTTCTCTGCAGGGTTGTTGAAGCAAGTGGTCTTGGTGCCTCTGCTGTTTTGCTTAGTACCGCCACCACTGGCAAACGTCGAGAGGACAGAGCTTGGACGAGCAACCTCAACCAAAATCCACATCCTTTTGTTGTCTTGAAGTCATTATCCAAGAACTATTTACGTAAGGAAATTTTTTCTCACGTGACGCCAACGACGAATTCCACAGCCACTCGTATCGAGCGTGTAAGGGATATTGCGTTATCCATTGTATTTGACGATGTCGTTGATGCTGCGGGAGAAGCAGAGTCACCGATTGAGCGCCTTGTCGTATCGTGCTCTAACCACCCACGCACAGGCTACGTTAGCGTCCTTCGTGTGAAGGAAATTGAAGGATTTTTCATTCGTGCGGTGATTCCAGGCTCCTTAATGGGACCGTTTATGAAATTGACATTGTTTCCCAGAGATGCAATTCGAGTAAAAGTTTTGCGTGTGAGAGCGATAGAATTGGCCTTTGCAGATAGTTGGACAGAGCGTCGTATTATTGAGGAACCTCTCAGTTTCTTGTCCGAAGAAGAAAACGAGGAAGAAGCGAGGCCTATGGACCCCATATCATTTCCACAGGAGGTGCATGAGAGAGAAAAAGTGGGGGAAGATTATCCCGGTAGCGTTCCAACACCACAGTCAGTGAAGGACCTGGTGGAAATGGTGGAATCTTCGTTGGCATCTTCTACGGTTCCTATTTCTTCCGTTGAGACTGCACTGGGAGATGGCGAAAGTGTTTTGGATGCATATGATTTGCAGAAACAGTTTGAACGCACGAAATCGGTGAAATTAGCTCCTGTATTGCAAGCGACAAGGGAAAAAGCGGGGGCAAGCGAAATGCAGCCTCAGAATGGGGCTCGAGGGGCATACAACATGGCTCCAATTAAATCTTCTGATTTCAAGGCAATGAATTCTCGTGTTGGCAGTGTAAAAGGAAGCAATGAAATACTCCCCGTGGCGAGTAATACTTTTCTGGCGCACGATTTGGGTCTTATACGTCGTAATAAAAATTCTGAAGAACGTAAAACAGCGCCCCATTTCGTTTCAATCGGCGAAGGTGACTGTACCGCGTCGAAAGCACATTGTACTGAAACTGAAATTGGCAGGAAAAATATGTCGAAGGCTTTGATTGCGTGGAGTATTAAGCGACGGCTTCTCCAGGACAAAAAGATCATGAGTTCCCTACAAGCGGAAAGGGATACTCCATATGATGTGGCTTCTTTTGATTTTGTCGGCCAGCAGGAGATACGAGGGACTCATAAAATTAAATTCGACAGCCAAAGCCATGGTGTATTTGGATCACAGGAGTCTGTGCAGGCGCGTTGCACGTGGGATGCAGTAATTCACCGGAGCCGTCAGGATGCACTGTGGGAATTAATGACAAATTCAAAAACTTTTATTGTGACAATTGCGCGTACATCCGATGAAGTTGTTGCCTCCCTTTCTCAGTCCTGTGCTTTACAGATGCTTTTCATATTGTTTTGTGAAGCCCAAGGTTCGGCATCTTCGTCAGTTGATTGCTTTAACCTCATGATAACAATTGCTCACGCCGAACGTCGACGCGGTCGTGAGACAGAACTTATTTTTCGAACGAAGGATGGGTTTGCCTGCTTGTTGCATCCGCACCGCGATTCGGATATGAAAAGGCAATGGTTAATGGTTTCTGTGCAGAATCACCCAGATTCTGTGAACGATTGGCTGTTAGAATCACTAGATCTTTATGAAAAAAATGGAGGCTTACAGAAGTTTCAGGAACTACGGTCCGAGAATTCCATTACGCCATTTAACGCCACGGAGGGACGGATTCCCTTGTGCAAAACAGCAGTGCTGCATTCTGTTGTTGATTTTGCATGTCTGTTTGAATTGTTGTTGCCTACACTGAGGGCTTGGCTGACCGTATGTGACCTCCGCTACTATGGTGATATACATCCTCTTTTGCACCCCTTTATCGATGAGTGTGGTGTCATCCACCCCACGAATTGGTTTCAATGTGTCCTGCATGGGACAGTACGGTCCGTGCTGTTGTCTTTGCCGAACGCGGAGTGTGGTGCAACAAGTTGTGACGATCCGCGTGGGATGCTGTCCACGGCGCGGAGAAGACTTGCATGTATAACGCTTCGTAGACATGTGTTTTTTTCTGCGGTTTGGCAGCCAAATCTTCACGCCGTGAAGGTTGTGCTATCAAATGAACATGTGCTTCATCACATAGAGTTGCTAGACGGTGTGTTGCTGGATCGCCATGGCTTGGCGGTGACTGAATTTCTTTCGCCTGACTCGCTAAGCAAAATAGAACTTCTTGACGAGGACAGCACCCAGAATAGATGCAGATTTTCACGTGGCACATGTGCCACCGCTGGAGGTTCGGTGGCGGCCGCGGCGGGATTCTCTGGCAACACCGACACAACAAGTTCCCTAGCTTTTCAGGTTTTGAGTACCGCCCTTCAGCGATCGTGGGTGGTAGTGGGAATGGCGCTTTCTTTGAGGATATCGTTTGACGAAGATGCATTCATGGACACGGTACTTCGCTGGGCGTATGCCTTACCCCGGACCATTGTTCTGTTCTACATGGACTACCCACCTGGGCAGGAGCCATCAATTCATCTTTCCACGGGGTTTCTTGAGGCCTTTGCCCCCGTGACTGGACTGAAGAACGCAATAGAGGGTGTTTCCGCTAACCCATAGAAAAGAGCGAAAATGTAAAGCTAAGGGCCGTGGATGGAACACGGGCATCTTTTGGCAAAGATTTATCCATCCATCTGTGTGTTTTTGGGATTCACTTTTCTTCTTGACTTACAACGTCTTCATCTGTTCCAATATATATATATGGGCACTTTTTTCTCTCTCTCTTTTTGTATATATAATACCTCTTTTGTTTTTTTGTGATGCAGTGGCAATAGAAATTTTGATCTATTTCCTGCACTAGTGCATGTTGTGTCTTTTCTGGTGGTGGTGGTGGTGGTATGTCAATATGAGAAATGAACAGTACGTTAAATAAGTCACCTGTAATTTGCATTCTTATGTCTATATATATATATATATATATATATATATATTGTACTACTTGCTATTTTTTTCTTTTTGCCTTTTGTAAAGTGTGATTCCTCTATTTTTTTTCCCCATCAGATAAGCTATTATTACAATAATAATAATAATAACAATAATAATAATAATAATAATAAAAGAGGCGACGGAAATAACGGGGAGTTAAAGGGGCTGAGCAGCGAAGGGTAGTAAAATTACTGGCTCACGCAATAGGAGTTCCACCTATACACATAATTATAAGAGAGGGAGAAAAAGATTGAGCCCTTTTGAGCTCGCTTAATTATTATTTACTGACTTCTTTCTTTTCATCGCTTCTACGTAACGTGGAGGGAGATGGACCGGGCACACATTCTACGCCTCCTCGACAACTTGAGGTCCGCAGACAACACCTTGCGCAAATCGGCAGAGGCGGAGTATGAGTCAATTATTCAGGGAAACAGTGTGTGGATGATGTGCAATCTGTCGGAGCTATGTGCCGTCACGGACAGCGCACCAACCATGCAGATGGGTCTGGTTTTGCTGAAAAAGCTCTTCAGCAGCAAGCACAACTGTTTCGACGTCTCAGATGCACAGACGCAGCAGGCCGTGAAAGGATTGATGTCGCAGGTGCTTGGGAAGGCGGCTTTTGGCCCACAGCGGGGTTTGGCCGCAGCATGCGTGAGCGCCCTCGTCGTCAAGATGCATGCATTAGGTCAGGAATGGGGGGAACTTTGGCAGAGCGTGTTTCAGATCCTTGAAAACGCGGAATCTGATCATCAGCTCAAGACCATTTGCTGCGAGATCATCGCCACGACTGGTCCTTCCATGGCGAGCTACTTTGAGTCCCATACCGGCAGGTTGGTGACTGGAATTAGAAATTGTCTGGCAGATCCTTCTGTAGAGGCAAGAAAGAGCGCCTTTGATGCCCTTGTCAATGTTGCCATGTGCAGATCCATACCAGATTTTGCCCAATTGGTTCCCTTGATGCTACAAGTTGTACAGGACTCTCTCAATGCATCCAACTGGGACGATGCGGAGCAGTTGACTGGAAAACTCGCCGATGGTGTCGCACATGCCCCTGGACTTTTTGCGGGTCACACATCAGCGGTTCTGCATGGATTGATGGAAGTGGCGTCAGCGCCGTCAGTCGCTTCAGGTGCACGTCACATGGCAATTGAGACTTTACTGACATACTGCGAGAGTGAACCAAAGACGGTGCGCAAGGTGCCAAACTTCTCCACCTCATTCCTTCAGCTTCTGTTTGAGTATACACTCAATCCAGTAATGCCAGATGACTGGGACATCAAGGGCGTTAATCTTGATGATGACCTCGAGGAGGATGATGATGACACTGTTGGGAGCAGTGGTATTGATCGACTGGCATCGTCCCTTGGCGGACGAAAGCTTGAGACAGTGGCTCAACAATTGTTTGTTGAAAACATTCACTCTTCCGATTGGAAGCGGCGAAATGCGGCACTTCTTCTTATTACTTATCTCGCAGAAGGAATGACGACCGTTCTTGAAAAACATCTTGAGCAAATTGTCCAAATGGTAATCCCTGCTGTTCGGGATGAAGTGAAGTATGTCCGTGCTAGCGCTCTGGATTGTCTCACACAGATGTCCAGTGACTTTGCACCAAAAATGCAGGAACAGCTTTGTCATTCTGTTGTTCCAGTTGTTATGGGGTGCCTCGGAGACAGTGTACCAGCCGTTGCGACGCGTGCAGCCCGTTGCCTGGATTCTTTCTTTGACCAATGCGAAGAGAGTGAAAATGAGGATGATACGGTTTTCATCAAGCAGTTTGAAAATTACATTGAGGGTCTGTGTGTTTCCCTTGTGACTCTCCTGAAGCAGACATCACACAAGTTTGTGCGCGAGGACTGTCTTGGCGCGCTTTCTTCCGTCATATCCACCTGCAAGGGCTTACTGAAGCCGTTTGTCAGCCACCTTGTTCCCGTGTTTCAGGAGGTTTTGGCAATGCCGGAAACCCCAGAGACGATCATGATGAAATGCAAGGCTATCGAATGCACGACGCTCTTGGCCTGTGGTGTGGGCAGGGAAAGCTTCGCTCCGTATGCCCATGAAATGTGCAACTACCTGCGCGACCTGTTGAACCATTTGGCAAGAGGATCAAAGGAGGACGACATGCGTCTGCGTTACGTTCTTCGGGGATGGACCTGTATGACGGATTGTCTCCGGGAAGAAGTGACCCCTTACCTGGCCATTGTGATGCCAGTGCTTATTTCCATGATGAATGTGGAGTGTGACACGGAAGTGGAGAATGCAGAGGTTGGCGATGATGAGGAGGATGAGGAAGAAAAAGATGTGACAACAATGCGAGTTGTGGTTCCTGGTGTGGGTGTTAGGAAGATCAAGATGCATACGGGTCTCATTGAGGAAAAGGACCTTGCAGCCAGTGTTGTCAGTGCCATGCTTTCCTATGTTGGCAAGCAATTGAAACCCCATTTGCCCCAAATTACGGAGTCCGCCGTCAAGCTGCTGAGTTTCCAGTCAGATTCCTCCATCCGCGAGAGCGGTGCGTTGATTATAGATGGTGTGATGGATGCATACGAGACGGCGGAGAGGGCACAAGTTGCTGTTAGCGTGATGTCCCCACTACTTAACCAGTTTGCAGAAGAGGATGACTTGGAGGCATCTAGCGCCATGTCGGTGGTGATTAGCCGTTGTATTGATGATGCACCCACGCTTGTGTCAATAGAGACGGTGGATTCCATTAGCGAGAAGATACTTGGGGTTTTGCGGCGCGCGATGGAGAGCCGCACAGAGAGCTTGCAATCTCAACAGGAGGAGAACGACGATGACGAGTTGGACAAACTGAAAGAGGAAGAAGAAGAGGCGGAAGCCCTCATACGCGATACATGCGATCTTCTTGACAAGATGCTTGAGCGTGCTGGCGCCGTTTTCGCCCCTGTTTTTAATAACAAGTTTATCCCTGTTCTGCAGCGGATGCTCCAAGGGAATGAAAAGGAATTTATGGTGGCCCGCGGTCTAGCGTTGCTGTGCAGTTTAGTGGAGCACGCACCCGATCACGTGGCTGGTTTAATTTCCACGATTGTCCAGAGCGTCATTAACTTTGCTCAGCGGCACGAGGATGCCGATGTACTGCAATCGTCATTCTATCTAATGAACCTTTTGCTTCAGTACTTTGAGCGGCACGAATACCCTGCTATTCGGCAGTTTGTTCAGCAGGTTTATGGAATCTTCAGTCGTTACATGGCTGTTGCGCATAAGGAGGAATATGAGGATACCACTTGCAACGCGATTAGCATGGCGGTGACGCTCCTCTCACTGTACTATCAACTTCTGCCGGAGCATGAACTTGCGCAGAGCCTTGATTGCGTCGTGAATTCCCTTCCCGCTGGCGGAGACAAGACGGAGGCGTGCCGGGTGCATGAACGTGTGATGATGTGGGTTGTGCAGAGACACTCACTGCTGCAGGGAAACGAGGCGCGGGTGAAGGCAATTGTTGCGCGACTCAAGTCAGCAAAGGAGGATGTCACGAACGAGTCTACGCGGGCCCAACTTGCTCACATGTAGTCTGCTAATGGATGGTGGAGAGAAAGTCCAGGCGCCAGGCGCGCGATCGTTAGAGGAGGACTCGGTGTGGGTGACGAAAGAGAAAACGAATGGAGGAAGAATAAGAGACATACCTAAAAGCTCACGAGCAGCGAAGGACAGGGGGCCTGCTAGAGGATGGTGGAGGGGCCAGGGTTGAAAGGGAAGAACGCGTGATGAGGAGGACCTTTTGTGAGTGTCATCCTCCGCTTTTGCTACCGTTAGTGTTGTTGTGGGCTTTAAATCTTTTTCTCCCCTCGCCATTTTTTTCCCCTGCTTCCGCGGTTTTTCTTTTGGCTGTCGTCTGCACCCAAGCACCCCGCGGAGCATGAAGAAACGTCGCGGCCCCTCCTGCGCACAACACCGCGAAAGTAATTACTGTAATAATGAGCGTGTGAAAACAATACAAACACAAAACAACAACAACAACAACAACCGAAAAAAAAATAATATTAAAGGCAAAAACGTAAGAAAAAACAAAAACAACCAAATTTGAGAAAAGGAAAAGCGTGCCCTCAATGGATTTGAAGTGATAGAGAAAGAAAGAGAAAAGACTGAGTGAGGGTGCATAGGCGGAATCTCTCCGCAAACAAGCGCTTAAATACACATACATACACTTGGGTTTAATACTATTATGAGGGGCATGAAATGCCCCGATTCAATAATTTTAATCGGAACCACAGTTGTAAAAAAGTGGGGTGGGGACGCGCACGTGGAGGGGAAAAGAAAGGGAACAGTAGCAGCATGACGGCGCGTTGGTGCCATCCTACGGATAACTCGACAGTAATGGAAAAAAGGAACCATATATATATATATATATATATAAACTGATTAGATTTAATTGATGTATTTCTCGCGTTTTTGCTCGTCACAGCGGAAGGGCGAAGAGCAGGAATTGGGGAGTTAAGACCATGAGATACAAGCTGCCCAACTTCTTGGTGGTCGTACTTATTTGCTTTTTTTGCTGTGTTCCCGTTTTTATTTTATTGCTTTTATAAACTGCTCCGGATTTGCGTGTCTTTGCAAATGATAGGGGAGGATTGCTGCCCAACTCTTTCTTTGTGCCCTTCCTTTTTGTGTTGCTTTTTTCTCTGGAGGGGGTTGCTCTGACACGCAGCGTGTGCCAGTATTTCTCCCATAGTGACTGCAGCTCTGGTACTTTGTGCTTATGGTGCTGTTTATGTTCGTGTGGGAAGAGGAATACACAATTGCCACAGAAAAAGAGAGGTAGAAGAGGCGATAGTCGAAAAGGAGAAGTAAAGGGAAAAGAATTCAACGAGCCCTTAAAGAAAAATTAGGATAAGCTTGGGATTTCCTTGAATCAACAATGGGAGGCAGCTCCAGCCGGGAAATGATGAACCCATACGCGGTGAACACCCCGCTCATTGGTGTTTGCTTTACATCGTTGCTATTCAATAGTGTTCAGGGTGGAACTCTTCGATCTTCAAACGTGTATAACAATTTTATTCTGATTTATATGCTTGGCTTCTCTACAGGTTGCTCGACGGTCCTTCAACAGCCGATATGGGGAGCGAAGCTTGGGCTTCTAGCCTCCTTCATCTTTACATTTGGCCCAAATGTGCGGCTACTGTACACACAACGACTCTTTCCAGACTACGTGCGCTACGGCATAGGCGGGGCGTACATGACGTATCATGCGCTGCAGTGGTATCGCGAGGCAACATACTTTGAGGATGCCATGGAAGATGACAAGAACAAATAGGAAGGAAGAGTTTTTCTGTTGTTTTATTTGTTGCTGTTTGTGCGATCTTGACACAGACAGGAGAGAGAAAAAAAAAAAAAAAAAAAAAAAGGAGGGGAAGGGGTTAAATGGGTGGTGTGGACTGCCTCATTTGTACCCAGGTATCGGGAATGATGCTTTGACTTTGATTTTTTTTTTCCATATCTTTATTCTGTCCCAACTTTTTTGCTTTGCTTGGACCACTTTTATTTTTATTTTTATTTTTTTATTGTTGCTGTTTAAAAAAAAAAAAAACGTGCCGCGACTGCGTTGTTGTGCGAATTTCACTGGGGATATGTGGGAGTGTGTAGTTAGAGGGTTTGAAAAGGCGGGTGGGAGAAGAGAAAAGAATAGGCATCTTTTTGCAGAATTCAATGGCGTCTGCGCATTCGACGAGCGTCTTCTTTACGAGTGTTCCTTTATTTGTGGAGGCGCGCAGCCTTCGCAAGCATTTTGAGAGCGTTGGCCACGTCACTGACTTTCGCCTTTTGGGTCCGACACCAGGAAGGGACTTTCGTTACGGCTTTGCCGATTACTTGGATTTTGCCAGTGCAGAGGAGGCCATCAAACGCCTCGATGGCACCTCATTTGGCGAGCGCAAGATGAAAGTCACTTCAGCGGCCAACTCACGGTCTAGGAAGCGTAATCGTCATTATACACATACAAATGAGCCGCCGGTGCGTGGCGGAATGGTATTTCCACGCGGCTATGTTGATCCCTTACTGGGCCGCGATGACACCAGTGTCCTGGAATGCCTGCAGCGTATGCCTGTCGCGGATGCTTACGAGGCAGTAGAGCAACTCCGCGTCTTGGTGTTAGAACGGAAAGATGAGGCGCGGAAGCTGCTTGATAGTTGTCCAGCGCTCCGACTGGCTGTAGTGATGATTTTGCAGCATGCAGGACGGCTGCCGTATGGTCCACTTCCACTGGATGCGGTTCGGCACACGGAGGCTCGTCCAGTGAGCGCGACGCCCACAGCTGTGGAGGAGGAAACAACGCAGAAGAAGGCTGATCATACGGAGGAAGAACGTGACGAGGTGATTGAAATTCTGACGAAGCTAAGTGAGGAGGACGTGGAGCGTATTGTCACTATGAGTGATGAGGATCTTGACCGCATTCCTGACCTTGCACAGAGAGAGCAGATTTCAGTGCTGCGGGCTCGTTTATTGGATATGGCAGGCGACCTTGAATGAGAGGTGACTGTGCATTCTTCTCTCTGTATATGTGTGTTTCGCTCCTGTTTGTTTGTACTTCATCGCCACTGAAAGTTATTGCATCTGTTGTTCTCTTTGATGCCGCATTGGTTTTGTGGATTTTTTCTTTTTTTTTACTTTTGATTTCCGTTTGTGTTTATGGACGTCTTTCTTTTTCTTGCTGCACACGGGCGTCTATGGGCGTAGCTGCCGTCGGCCAACAAAATTTATTATTATTTTTTCTACTGTTCTCCTGTTTCTTTGCACCTCTGAAGGCTTGGGAATTGGCCGTATCCAGCTCGGCGAGGAGCTGTGCTTTTCCCCCTTCACTGCTTCTTGCTATCGCTTGAAGGGACTTGGTCCGAGCAAAGGGTCCTACAGCGGACAGCCGGTTTGTGCACTTTGCTAAGCGTCGTCGTACTCTCGAGGTGAACGAGGGGAAGTTCCCTTTTGTTGAATACCGACGTTGGAGGTGGGAGCGAGAGTGACGGGGGAATCTACAGGGCGGAAAACAAAGGAAGCGATAGAAGGGTGGGAACGAGGGCAACGACAGGGCAAAAATGAGCCAGGCAGCGTACTGCGTGAAATTTTATGACTCCTCGGATGACGAGCATAATCTGCAGGTTGCGCAGGTGGAGCCGGTGTTTGAAGAAACGCAATCTTTGCCTGAAGAATCCCCAGGAACAGATAATCGCGAGCAGCAACAACAACCCTCATGGCTGAGAAGAGCCATTGGTGGTACCGTGACCTTTGTCACATCTTCCCTGTCGCCTCAGTTGGGTGCGCCTGCCGGGGGACAACTTGACATTGCGAAGAGCTCACTGAGTGCGTCGACTGGCAGCGATGACTGGAGGTACAGGGAACATCGCAGATTACCCTTCCATGAGGAGTCGCCATCGCAGAGTGATTCGCTTTTTTTATCTGAGGATATTGCTGTTGACCTGTGTGAGGTTATTCTCCAGTATAGGCGTACTCCAAATGATGTATACAAGCGCATCATCCTTGCAGCACTTGAGTTTGGTGAAGTTCAAATCAACGGTGATGTCCTTCGCGCGGCGGCTGGCAACCGTGAACTTATTGAAATGTTGTTGCGCTCAGGGAGAGTAAATGTCGATGATCGTGATGTGCAGGAGGTCATTCAGGAGGAGATCAATTCTGTGTTGCTGGCCGATGAATTGCAGCGGGGTCGTATTTATTCAGACAGAATTGGGTACTTGACGTTGTTGTGCCGCGTCCCTAGCGCAACACTTACGAAGGAGCAAGCGCGGCAGTGCCGTCAGGGTGGCTTTGAATTTGCAAAGTTGCTTTACGAGAATCCACACGTCTTGCGAAATATTTTACCACCCAGTTGGATTTTGGCGCGTATATTAGATTTATGCTTTTTTTTGGGCATGCTCATTACGTGGTTGGGGTTGGCTGCAATTGTATTGAATCTTGTATCTGTCGCCTGGCTTGCCTCCATTTGGTTTGGCAGGAGCCATTCCTCGTTTGGGTACTGGACAATTCTTTGCTATGTTGCAGGATATGTGGGGAGCATTGTTGTGGTGATGATCTCCGAGGAAGGGAGAATCCGCGACTACGACGATCGCCTCTGGGATTATCCAGATAACTCCTTGAAGGTTGTCCCTTGCATCCCAATTTTTGAGATTGCCCTCATGTATGTGACATTACGTTATGAACTGCGGCGAGACAAGGCAAAGTACTTGGTAATACGACATGACTTGTACAATGGCTTTTCAAATTTATTGATTATCAATACCTTTTTATTTGCCACACCGCAATTGCTTCTTCAGTATTATCTTAGCACGTTGTATGACCCAATGACTAAAAAGCTTTCCGCCTATAAACTCCTCTTGTCTGTAAACTACACATTGTATGGGATGTCCATGAGTCTCTTCATGTGCAATGTCTTTTTTCAGTACTCATGCAATAGTTTCGGGTTTGCCGTGATGGCTGTGAAACAAGCAATTATGCTCCCTATCAACATCACCACTCGCGTTCTTATCATCACGGCGATTTTTTACCTGGAGTGTAATATTATTGGCTCTGTGATGTCACTCACTGAAATTGATGCGTGCTCGCGAGGAACAATTTTTTTCACTAGCATTGCGGTGGCACTGACCGTGCTAGAGACTATCGGATTGGTCATATTGATTACTTTTGAGCTGACGAGGCACATCTGGGCTGTATGCGTGCCTCTTATTTTGTTGCCAGTGATACTTAGCATATATGGGTCTGTTGGGATTGGTAGAAAAGATGCGGAAGTTTGCAGGCTGTTGGCCCTTTCCACTTCCATTAACCCTCCTTTTGTTTATGTGGCGTTTGTGTTCCTCTGCGCCACATTTTTTGCCTGGTCGGGTTTTGCGCTTTACGGCAAGCTGACTGGCAAGCATTTGTACCTGCGCTTGGACTCTCATTTCTATTGGTCATGGAGACGATAACTGGCAGCATGGCCTCACATCTTGTTCTCAAGAGAAGAAATGGGATGTGGGCATGCATTTATTCTGCGACTGTATGCTTGTTTTTTTTTTCAAACCAAAGCAATGCAAGGCGTCTTTTCTTTGAAGTTCATATTGCGGTTGTGTGCACTTCGCAAATATACATACATCTTTTTTTTTTTTTTTGCTTGCGGTGTTATTTCCAATTTCATCTTTCTTTTTTTTTTTTCTTTTTTTTTTTTTGCATGTCAGCCTCATACTCTGGCTGGACCAGCGTGTGCGATATCACTTTGCACCATCCGGAGTGCGGGAGAGGATGGAAGGAAACATCCTTCGGCCTGCATCAGGGATGCAACAGGCAAAAACAGTAGAGGATGAAACCAACCAACCGTTGTCGAAGGTTGTGGAATTGATGACTTACGACTCGTATGACTTTGGCATGCTTGCCATCGATGTTGTTCTTGGGGATGGAACACGATGTATGCTGGATTTTGCTGAGAGCCTTTACCTTGGTCGCCTGCTGTCAATGAGACCTCCCGTGGTCTTTTCATTTGGCTCAGCGACGGCAATGCGGGAACTAGAGAAAATTGTCGCGCTTCTCCATGGCGCTCGACACACGGGGTCAAGTTATGCTACAAATGAATGTGACAGTGGAGTAAAAAACGCAACGATGAGGAGCCATAGGATGGCCGACGCGGCAGCTGGCATGGGGATGTCAGCCTCTGCCGCACCTCCTGCAGAGCTATCAGCCAGTGACAGGATTGCTGTTGTGCGTGCCCACATACGTCAGATGTCGGAAAATCGGAGGCTTTTTATGGATGTGCTTGAGCTTGCGACACGACTGGAGATGGAGGAGACATTTCCACTTCTTTGTGAAGAATTTAGTTTTATTTTTGAGAATGAGGTGCGAGGTAAATTCACCAAAAGCCTTTTTTTGTTGCAAGAGCTGGGAGGTTCTGGACAGATGGCAATCAAGACATTTCGGAAGATTGTCATGCGGGCGTTTGCACTGGATGATGGTGTTTCTCCAGTTCCGGCCACACGGGAGGAACAACGGCAACCGAGGCCCTCCGCTTGCGATGAGGTGGCTCATCATTGGTTGAAGCAGTTGAGGGAAGACCACTACTTTTTTCCCGGGGGGCAGCTGATAGGCGACCTGACACAGTCTGTAGACCCGGAGGCTTCTGTGTGGCGTGATGAGACACCTTTTGGAGATGAATTTACCCCCAGCTTTCAGCGATATCCGTTTCATAGTCCGGTGTGGGAGCCGGGGGATACAGCAAAGACGTGTCCTGTCTGCGGCATGATCTTTGCATCATGGTCAACGTTATCACTCAATACGGTTCGACCGAGTCATTGTCGATGCTGTGGCAGGCGCATCTGTGCACGATGCACCTCATGGCAGCTGGATAAGTCTATAGCAAAGCTGAACAAGCCTGGAGTTCCGGAGGAGGGTCAGCTTCGACGTGCCTGTAAAGAATGCTTTGACAAGGCGGAAAAGCTGAACAAGCATGCGTTTTTGTGTGAGATATTTGTCCTTGCGGGCCTAACTTTGACAGAAATCGCTCTCCTACGTTCTATTAATCCACATTGGAAAGGAGCATCAGAGCTGTGCCTTAGCGACTATAGATCTTCGCTCTACCAACACGCCTCGTGGAAGTTGGTTGTGGCAACGCAAACCGCCCGCATACTGGCAAGTAGCGTCAACATCTTGGTGGGCCATCCTGAATCACTTATTTTTCTTTTTATTTCTATGGATTGGAGCAATGAGAAACTTATTAAGGCGGCCTATGCGACACTTGAAAAGACGCTGAGGGATGCGGCCTCTCAGGGGCGATTGAACCACGCCAGTACATTGATCTGGAAACCGCCCGTCAGTCACTGGCACATGTTGTGCACAAGGGCGTGTGGGTTGATGCTTCCGTCGTTTTTTGCCATCAAGATGCTTGAGTGCCTCCACCGCGCTCCAGAGGCTCATCCAACCGCCGAGTTGATGCGTATGTTGGTGACGAAAGAACTCCTTCTGGGAAAAGTGTTTCACTTGGACAGCCGCGTTTGCGAATGTGTTATTATGCTTTTGCTGGATATCTTTGAGCTAAAGACGTGCCAGCCACATGTCACGTCCGTACTCCTGAGGTTCTCTGCTCAGGACCGACGCCTGGCGCTTATGATTTGCCAAGAGACGTTCACCCGCTCTCGGTATGACGAACTGGGCTACCAGACGCTGCGGGGTCTTGTGATTGATGTGGATTGCAAAGAGCGACCTGAAACACATGTACACTTTTTGAATACGCTGCGATTTTTAGACGTGTTGCGGTCTGCGTGGACTGATAGCTTCAAGCAAAACGATATTTCCAGAACGCGTGAGTTGTTGTACAAGAACCTGCGAAAGGCCGGTTTGTTGGTTGTTTCAAGGGAGGTGCACGACACAGCATTGATAAACAGGCACACAATTAGCCCGATACTTTTTCCATTTGACACCAGTGTCGTACTGAACGAAATTGATTTTGGTGGCATCGTGGCAATGCACTCAAAACAGCGGCCCGTGCTGATTCCTCTCATTGACGAGGGAGGACAGACGCGGTGTATTCTTTACAAAAATGAAAGTCTTGAAAAGGATAAAGTGATGTGCATTGCCTCACGGTTTCTTCAGTGGGTGCTCTACAAACAATTGCGTCACGTTGTGCTTCCCACCTATCATGTCATGCCGCTTTCATCATCCTCTGGCATCATTGAGATTGTGAAGGACGGGCATACGGTTCAGAGTGTCATTGAGCCGTACAAGGAGCATCGACTGCTGCAATACCTGCAGCAGCTGGAACAACAATACGCACAACAGAAGGAGGAGCGGCAACCGAAAAAGCAACAGGAGGCGACGGCATCTTTGAAAGAGGCGGCAAAGAGCTCAAGCGTCAATGTCCGCGAGAACTTTCTTTGTTCCGCAAAGTTTTTTATTTTGATGAATTATATTTTTGCAATCGGCGATCGACACCGTGACAATGTTATGGTGCATCCAAGTGGGGCAATATTCCACATTGATTTTGGCATGCTTCTGAATTCACGGACGCTGGCGGAGCGAGTTACTACAAGCTACGTGAGATTTGATCTTGACCTGGAGGAGTGTGTACTGGAGTTTATGCGTGACGACGAGAAGAAGCCACGGGAAGATTTTTCATCACTGGGACCACCACCACCACCGACCTTGTCACAACACCAAGGGTCTTTGCCACATGTATCGACCCATAGTTCGGACGATTCCCTTTCTCGATTCCTAATGGAAGCCGCCGACTGGTTTCTTGAGGTGCGTCCATACGCCAGTATTCTTTGTCAGCTTTTGTCCCACGTTGTGTTTCGGCAGGCTCTCGACGGTGTGCATTCTGTCGAGCAGCTCACAGCGTTGATGCACACTATATTTATGCGCGATGCCGCAGAGGAGACGTGCAAGACGCTATTTTGTGATCGTGTTAGACAGTCGCGTGGCCAAACGTGGCTGAAGGACCTCACGCACGATACGCGGAAACGAACATGGTTTATGGTGTCGCAGGGGCTGAAGTGGATCCGTGAGAAGACCGGGCTGGATCGCCTTGATGCCCCGCATTGATGCAGCGAAGCACCGAGCGCGGAATTTTTCCGGGAAGCTAAACCACAGTGACGGGAGAAAAAAAAAGGAAGCAAAAAGAGTGGCAGGGACCATTATAGGAGAAACAAGCACAGTGCGTCATGCCTGTTGAAAACTTGCTTCTCATCAATCTATAAATTGGCTTGCTGGGAGTTGTCTTTCTCTTTTTTTTTTTTTTTCTCGTTGGCTTGTCATCTCCTGATTCTTCTTCCCGGTTTTGCTTGACAGTTTTAGTTATCTACCTATCTATATCTATATATATTTATGTTTATTTAAAAAGTAGAGTGTTCCACATCTGTTTCATCGTTTCTTCTCTGTTCTCTGAGTTTTTTTTTCTACCTCCCCTCTTGGATCAGTCTGTTTTTTTTTTTTTTTTTTTCTTTTTCTTAGTGTTATATGAGGTTGTGTACGCTCCAGTTTTTTTTTAAGTTTGTTTTGTTATTGTGCCCGTTTTTTGTTTTTTTTTTTGTTTCATGTGTTCAACGTGTATGTTTTCGGCGTATGTGAATTGAACGCGGTGCAACCACTTTTGAGTGGTTGACGGGGTTTTTTTTTACTCACCCATCATTTTTTGCTTTCCATCGGTGCACGACTGCATTCCTTCTGCTTAACTGGAGGTATTCGCCTTTCTTTTCCCTTTTTTTTTTTTTGTACCTTTACGAAAGAGTACAACTTTTTTTTTTTTTTTTTTTTTTTTTTTTTGTGGAGAAGGACTTTGCTTTTGCTTTTTATGTACGAGGTGTTGCCGGAGGAGACAGACGCATCCTTAATACGCCCTCGTGTGATGGTTAGAACAACGTTTAAGAAAGTGCACAGCCTTGCGGAGGTGCGCAAGGCAGTGAAATTGCTTCAGGATGTGGCGACGCGTGAAAGCTCCTTGACCAGCGCGTTGCAAAGCACTCCAAAGGCTCCTGGCCTCGGGGAGGGTTCTGCTGTGGAGGGCGGCACGAAGCTGTTGTGCTTATGGGACGTGGATGATACATTGGTTGCCTCGGGTGCTCTTGGAGTGCGTCAATATCCAATATTTGCTGAAGATGAGTTGGTCAGTTTTTTTCGTGGTTGCCCTGCGAGACATTTACTTCTGTCCCAGGGCAGTGTGGATGACGTGTTTGCCCCCGATGGGGTCGGGAAGTTGGATTTCTTGTCTCCGTTTTTCCTCTCGGGTGGGGATCCTCCCGGTGGAAGTTCCAGCAAGGTGCACACAGGCTGTAGTAACGTGTTTTTGTGTTCAAAGCCACCCAATTTGAGGAGTGGCAACGGCAAATACCAGGAAAATACTCCGGACGTGAATGTTGTTCGCATCGCCACTTCCCGCGCCCCGCGGGAGCAACCCGAGGACTCTAGGCTTTTTCTTAGTGAGCAGGCAGAGCCACCGCGGTGCGCAAGCGATGTCCGTTGGCTGGTGATGCGACCTTCTCTATGGGGCATCTCCCTCGCGAGTCTCTCGAACTTTATTGCTCCGTCGGCACACACCGCCTTCCTCGACGGCTCGGTGTTTTGCAAGATGGATATTGTTAGGTCACTCGCGGCGAGCGGAAATTGGGACGCCGTATTTTTTATTGACAATGATTTGTCTGAGGTTGGCGTAGTGCGTCCGGGACTTCACATTGAAGACTACTATCGCATGAAAAGATTGGGAAGGCTGTCGCGTTTCTTTCAGTCAGACATGCTATTGCTGCAAGCCTCTGCGGAGTTGGCGGAAAAAGAATACGGGATGGATTTCTCGAAGACCAATGGAATACTTCTTGCCGCCACCGCTTCCCTCAGCTCCCTAAATAGTAAGAAGTTGGGCAAAAAGGCCAATAAAAATGGCTCTGTCAATTCGGATTCCCTGAAATATCAGCTTTCAACAGTAATAGACATGGGAGGCAGTGCCTCCTCCACATTGACGAGGGGCCAGCAGCCCTTCACACGTGTGGTGGACCTATTCGTGGCACATTTCCACCTGGACGGCCCCAGATACCGTCGCATCACGAAGGCGAGGCAAAACGCCATTGAATATCGCGAGAAGGACCAGTGGCATTCGGTGTTTAGGACGGGTCCGGCGTGCAATGACGATGATTACGCCGAAGTAATGTCGAGTTTTGTCCTTTACGATGCGAAGGTGAAAACGTATGGGCTGACAACCGATTCTAAACTTACGCCAGTGCCTGGGTGGGAGCCGAGCGTTGATGTCGTCACATACCCCATGTACGATCGACCACCGTTTCCCCGGCGCCTCCCCTATCAGTATCAAAATATATGCCACCAAATCACGACGAATCTCATTGATCAGTGGGACCCACATTTAACGGAACAGCAGCAATACGATTTGAAGAAAGAGGCGGATAATCTTTTTAGGCGTCTTATTCGTCGACAGCCAGTCATTGACCCGATGCTCATTGTACGGACAGCCAACACGTTGTTTAGCATTTTTACCGCGGAGCGTCGCCTGCCCCGGAGCCTTGGAGAAACGCTGAAAAGAGATGTCCAGGCTCTTATGAATGGGACTGCATTATGACATGATGGCTGTTTTGCTTTAATACAGAGTCGGCTTAACGTGGGGATGCAAATAGGCGTATTAGTAGCGAAATATACAGATTTAACGGAAAAGTGGTTAAAAGAGAGGGCAAAAAAGAAGAAACGAAAAAAGGAAAAGAGCAAACGAACAAGCAAGAAGACTATTCGTGCAGTGCCGAATCAAGTGGTGTGGGAAAATAGCGAATAGCGAATATTATGCTCTTGTCTTTTTTTTTTTTTTTTTTGTTTCTTTGTTGTGGTTTTCTCTGATTGTGTGGGTGGCCTGAAATGAGTGGTTAGTCTTTATCGCTGGGGGGATGAGGCCAAGGAAAAAACAACAACAACAACAACAAAAACAAGTATGCATGTCCCGTTGGTTTTTTTTTAATGGCTTTATTGACTTTGGCCCGCTCCTTCACATTCTTTTTTTTTTTTTTTTTTTTTTCTATTATGTTTTTTCCTTGAAATAACGCCATAAGGTCAAGCTGGCAAATGTGTTTGTGTGTGTGCGTTTCTGATTAATTTTGGGCAGGGAAATAAAAGAAGAAAAGTGCGGGCAAAGTGCATCAATGAAGAAAAACAAACAAACGGAAATGGAGGAAATTGATGGGTGTGGAAGGATCAAAAAAAAAAAAAAAAAAAGAAATATATTTATATTTGCAATATATATATAAATACACACATATATATTTTTTGACGTTTTTTTTCCCCACAATTACCATTTGTTTTTGTTTGCTTAAAATATATTCTCTTTCGGTTATACCAATCAGTTGACTTTTGTTTTGTTCTCTGCTGGTCTAGTCTCAAATGTGAGTTTTCCTTGCCACAATATTTATTTATAATTTTGTTTAACTTCTTTTTTGTGTGTGGGCCTCTGTATTTCCTTCTTTTCCTGTATGCATTCGCGTGAACGTGTCGCTGTCTTTTTACTTCTGTTGTTTTTTCTTCTGTGGTTGCTTGCATCCTGGACAGGACCATTGCCTGGGCTGTGGCGGGGTGGGGTGGCGGTCGCGAGTGTGGGGGGAGCAGCCGGGTGCAGGGCAGAGGAATTAGTTATGGAGGCGGCGTTACGCACGATTTGCATCATTCCTCACGAGGCTCGTGGCGATGAATTTTTTGACGCCGTCTTTGAGGATGGGGTGCGCGCATTGTCTCAGGGTCGCCTGCACTCCCTCTTCTTTTCTCACGTCTTGAGTCCGGCACATGACATTGCCGGTCACGTCGTGGGCCCGCTGCTCAATAAAGTGCGTCAAGGCGGCAACGCCGCTCTCATTGTGGCTCTACCGGAGGATGAAACGGACGATATGAGTGTGGACGATGCTGGCGCCACCTCCGGAGAAAAGCTAGAAGTTTCTCTCGAGCTTTACGGACATTTGTTACCACTGCTTTTCCGTAGCGCCGAGCGGTGCTGCTTTGCACGGGTGTCGGCAGTCACCTTCAGCATCGGGGACAAAAAAGTACACGACCTACTGCAACGCTGTGACGTGCGTGGTGAGAAGGATGTGCAGTATCAATTAATAGAGCGTGAGGGATCATCCTCACGATGGGGCAATATTATGAATCTGTTGCATGAGCGGCATGCACACTTGGAGCGGGGTGGCATACTGCCACTTGAGTCTCTGTTGGTTGTACGGGTGGAGCTTGAAGGGTACGGCACTGTTGTGCTTGCGGAGGTGGGCTGCGGGCGAAAAACTTTGGATCAACTGACGTTGTTTCTTCGCAGCGGTGGGGCGTGTGGTGCCAAGACGTATCCACCAAGGGGTTTGCTCTCTAGCATTCTACGAGACATGACACCGCCAGCAGCGTTGGTGCATCTTGTAGGAATTCCGGATCCTTCACAGGCGCCTCGCAGCACGATGCGTCTTCTTCGATTTATGTCCGCGATGTTTCGTGCGTCTTCAGAAAAACCGGCGGAAGCCCCTCTGCTGACACGCGACGCGCCACAGCAGCGAAAACCGCAACGGGGTGATACCACCAGCATTTCAATGTTGTGCCGCTCTGATCTTCGGGAATCGGAGGCGACGCCCGAGGCTGCAGGCCCTGCTTCTCCCCGGAAACCGCATCGTGCCTACCCTTGGGCGGGGGAGTTGTTTGTGGACCCCTCACAGTGTGCGCACTTGCTGCCGACTCGAGAATCCACCACCAACATGCCCACATGGGACTGGGGCACCGCTCGTCCGGAGCAGCCGTTTCGGGATACTGTCAGGTCAAACTTGCCGCGCGCCCCAACAACCCCTCTGGATGGTGTTCTCAGCGAGGGTTCAGGGCCGCGGGCGTCACGAGAACAGGCGCTTGTGAATAGGACGACAACCCTGGACCGCACAAATCGTGAACTCTCAGAGGCGTTATCGGCAGCCAAGGCAGAAATTAAACATTTGCAAGGGTTGCAACAGTCCTTTCAAGAGGTTTTACGAAAGAAACAGGACGCAATCCTTTCTTTGACAGCATCTAGCGAAAAGACGATGAAAGAGAACGCAGATTACGCGAAATTAGTTCCAAGGCTTCTCCGCAAGGTAAAAGGACTCGAGCAGGAGCGGGACAAGTTGCAGCAAACTTCAAAGGAGTGGGAGAACCAGACCAGCGAAATGCATGGAATTAACCGGCGGTTGCGGGCTGAGCTGCAAAAGTTACAAAAAGAAATGAAATGCATGGCCAAGAAGGAAACGCAGCGGCTTAGAGAACACGCCCTGATTCGTATTGGGACGGGTAAAGGGGCGAAAAGGATTGCCCGAAGGGTCGGCGGGCTCAATTCCCCGAAGCGTGTTCACAGTGTGCCGGCATCGCCGGTTTCAGACGCAAGCAGGCAATCCAGAAGCAGTGAGGTGGCAAAAAAAGGAGAAAGTGGCTCAACAGTTCTTGGTGCGATTGAGGAGTTGCGACAGCGTAATACAGCGCTGGAGGCCGAGATAGAAAAGTTTCGAAGGAGACAACCCGTCGCGGATAATCATGTAGAGGACGATGCAAAAGAAGTAACGGTTGCGCGTGGCGAGCAGGGGGCGTTGTGTAGCAACTGCGAGACGATGCGGAGACATATTCTTCGACTCACCGAAGAACTCGATCGCAGCTACAAGGAGAACAAGAAGTTACGTTCTCTAGTAGCGGTTCCACCCGTTGTATCGTCGCACACGCCAGCAACAGTGCGGGATGACTTCGTGTCAGTGGTTGCTGCCTCCCTGATGACCGGTTGCGAGTCGATGTGTGCGCAGTTGAAGCACACTGAGGCGGAGTTTCGCCGCAAAGAAGAACAAGGCGTAAAAACTCTTTTTTCTGGCAGCGTTTTCCGCGAGCACATGGAGGCCGTGGCGGCGCTGGAGACAGCAGTGCGGGACATTAGTAGTCGCCGATATCGTGGGGCAGAGTGTTACGAATCCATTGTGCCGGCGAGCGCCACTGCCGCAGATGCAGAGCACCTCTCAAGTCTGTTGTCATTTGAGTTGGAGCGTGGGACCCATTTGCGTGCGTTTGTACCAACCTTTGCTCAACTTTCTGTGGCGACGGAACACCTTAAAATGCGTGTGTTTCCTTCCGAAAGTTGATCTGCTAAACCTTTTTATTGCGGGTTTGTCATCTTAACGCTCTTTTTGGAATGTATGGTGACTTTGCTGGAAGCGTGTCTCTGTGTATGCAACGAGAATGCCACCAAAGGCATTGATTCCCAACTGTGCCAACTTCTGCCTTTTTTTTTTCTTGTCTTCTTTATGAAACTGGTGCCGCATTTACTCTTTGCTTTTTCTTTGGCGTAGATTTTGTGCTTCATTGGCGCTGTCTCCATGATGACTATTCAATGCGAAACAAGGCTATTTGTGCGTGTGTGTACGTAAGATTTTATTGTTTTTTTTTCTTTTGCTGGAGGCATATATATATACGTACATATATGTTGTATCTGTTTTATGTGTGGATGTTCTTTTTTACTTTTTTATTTTTGTTGTTTTTTTTGAATTTGTTTTGTTTGCTTTTTTTTTTTTTTTCATTTGGAGTGCCTCTTTTTTTGCCCCTGCGTGCCTGCAATACATATATATTCTATATACATTGCACGGCGCCGACCATGTGGAGTGTTGTGGAGGCAAAGCAGAAGCCCTCTAGACGACGCAGAGAAAAATCTGCCGCAAAAAGAAAACAGACGGATGCCATCTTCACGCTGGCCCCAACTGTTTCTTCTCGTATGATTTCGGCGCTGGTGCGCGACCTCCGTCGAACGTCTGAGGCGTTGCGAGGACTGACTTTTGCTTGTCGTGACATTTTGTCGCCGGTGCGGCGGTTCTTAGAGACGCGTGTGGACGTTTTGACACGCGTCCATCTCATAGCACTTGGCATCGGACCGTTTTCGCGGCAGGAGTCACGTTCAGGCTTTCTGCAAATGGCTTTTCTGTTAGCATTGAAGAATGAGTGCGAGAATGTCATACAAAAACAGTCAAAGCCCCTCGCACCTGCTGCTGTGGGGGCTCGAGTTGACACTTTTCCGGGCGCCGGGGCGACGTGCCTGTCGTGTGAGGGATCGCCTGGTCTTTTCACGAGCTTTTTTGATCCCGTGGCTGGGGATCTTTATGCCTGCTGCTGCGAAAAGTTAGGGGTGGTAATGGAAAAGGAAAATCGCTACGGCGCATATACACCTAACGACTTAAACGCCCTGCTCATTGCGTACCTGCCGCACTGTCCGTGGGCACTGCTTCGCAATCTTTTTGTTTCCAATCTTTTGCCATGCCGGGAATTCGCTGGTGCTGGCCACGTGGGGCAGCTGGGGTCTGTGCTGGTGGTTGGAAACGATCTCCGCGGAAGGGCATGTCGGGAGAACGACTTTCTGGAGGCGCTTATTCCGTTTTTGCGTTTTGACACGGTGCGGGCAGAGCAAAAAAAAGGCAACCCGCGAGTTGTTGACAGGGTGGAGGATGTGGGCAACTCTATCCCCAGTGGGCTGAGAGGGATTAGTCGGAATGATATTGCGTGCGCTTTTTCCGATACCGCCGTTATGCAAACAAACACGGAGCGGGAGGCGGAGTTTTTAGAAGCGCTACCGCGGCTGCGTTTACCACCTCTTGTGAGAGATGGCCCTGATCTGCTGTAGTGCATTTGTAAATTGTCTTGAGGGTTGGATGTTGCCCAGATGAGAGGGGGGAAAATGTACGTTTTTCTTTTTTTTGGCTGGCATGCTGCACGAGTTACACACGTCATTGTTTTACTTCTGTGCATCAGTGAGAGTTTGATATAAAGAAATAAGAACAAGAAGAATATTATTGACGGACGATGAATCGAGCTACACACAAAAAAAAAAAAAAATAAATAAATATATTCATTCTTTTTCGAGGCTCCATGTTCTTTATGCGTGCAGCGTGTGAATTTTTTTTCTTCTTGAAGCGCCTTTTTTTATTATTGTTTATGAGATTTGAAATGATGTTCGCTTTACTTGTGCGTTTCTTGCGTGTTTGTACCGTAGTTTACAATGGTGATTACTCCAGACTACTTTCACTGTATCACCGATCCACGGTTTCGCAGAAGCGTCTACGAGCCGGAGGCAGACACGTTTCTGTTACTGGAGACGCTTGACAGGGACGCGGATATGCTTCGCTCCATGCAACCGCGTCGCTGTTTGGAGATTGGCTGTGGGTCGGGGACCGTCATCACTCACCTGCAACTTGTCTTGTCTGGCATTTCTGGGAACACAAATAACACGAAAGAGGTGCGGCATGTGAGCGGTAGGACATGGCAATCCGAGTTTCACGCAGTCGACATAAATCCCGTGGCATTGGAAGCGACTGGTGTTACGTGGAGCAACACACTACGTCGTTTGTGGGGTGATGAGGCTCCTCATTTGCACCTCCACCATGGGGACTTGTTTGGTCCTTTCCAGCATGAAGGTGCTGAGGGCCCGCAGGAAGCGGGGGCTGGGGAATTTGATGTGATTCTCTTCAACCCACCGTACGTTCCAACCACCATGGACGAGTTGGAGGGTGCAGGGAAACAGGGGGACTTCATTACGGCAGCGTGGTGTGGGGGCCCACGCGGACGGGTATTGGTGGATCGATTTATTCTTTGCCTTCCACGCTTCCTCTCTGCCCGCGGCGTATGCTACATTGTTGCGATTGCTCAAAATGACGTTCCCGAGTTGATGGAGAAGATTCGTAATGTCTTCAAGGAGACGGGACAAGACGATGTCAGGGTTCCTGTGGATGTCATGGTTGTGTCAGAACGATACACCGGGGAGTATTTGAAGGTGATTCGTGTGCGTCGCGGGCCGCGGGGTGACCCTCACGGCTCCTGAAGGCGGAACACACGGTGCTTTTTTTTTTTTTTTTTGAGTGCCATAAGAAAAAAACGTTTTATTTTCTTTTTTTCCCGCTTTTCTGATGGACCGCGTTTAAAAGCCGAAAAAATGAGAGCAATTTAAAAGATGCTCTTTATTATTATTTTTTTTTTTTTGTACTTGGCGTACATGTGTTGAAATGGCTAAGAGAGAGAAAAGGAAATGGGGCGTTGATGAACGGACGCCTTGTAAAAAAAATGTTAGCATGAAGCATGTGGTATGTTTTGCGGCATTCTTTTTTACTTTCATCACTGTTTTTATTTGCTTTTTTGAAAATACTACGGTAGGGATGGAGGAAGTGGTGGCCCCAGAGGAGCCCCCCAAGCTTGTGTGCGGTGTGGCCATCCGCATCCCACGGCCGACTCTAAGCGGAGCGTTTTTGCGGATTGCCAACAATTCCTTTCCCTTGCAGCCAAACGCCCGTCATTTGAAGCGCATTCGCAAGGCTCCAAGGGCCGAGGCGTTGCTGCCTTATAATGAATGTCCATGCACCCTGAGTGATTGTGTCTCAAGATGCGATAACGGGGCTAAAGAAGCCGGTACATTGGCAACGACAGCTGAAGCTTCACTGGAATTGCTGCTTGGTGTTGGCTGCTCCATCGATGTGGATCGACTAAAGGAATTTGATGAATTGTCGGGAAATGCGGCCCCTCTAACCATCATCACGGTGTCGGTGCCAGACAGGGCTCCACGCACATCCGTTGTGGAGTGGAAGAAGTGGTGCGCGTTGTGGCCATTTGCTGTTCCGAAGCCACGCCCAGCCTCCCCGCTGTTGCTGGACGAAATGAAGAAAATAAAAAGTGTTTTTAATGAGGCTGTTATGCCGCTCGTAAAGGAGGGCCACAATAAGGGGACACTTGGAATAGCGGCTTTGTTGGTGGACTCTTCACAGGATTGGCGTGTGCTCACCAAGAGCGATGGGGCGGATTTAATGCACATATCAAACGCGGCAGCGTGTTTTGGGTACGTGCCTGCTGTGGAGAGTTCTGAGAACCAAATTTTACTGGACCATCCTGTAACTGACGTTCTAAAAAAACTTGCTCGTGTGCAGCAAGCACAGCGATGGACGAAGGACAATGTGCCTTATTTGGCCAACGAGATTGATCTGTTTGTTAGTCACGAGCCGTGTGTCATGTGTTCTATGGCGCTTGTACACAGCCGCGTGAGGCGTGTGTTTTACTGCTTTGCAAACCCCACACACGGTGGGTTGGGTTCTGTCTTTTCGATTCATGCCATCCCTTCACTCAACCACCATTTTCGAGTTTTCCGCTGCAGTGCGAGTTGGTTGTTTGACGAGAGTAACTCCCCGCCGGACTCTTCTGCCGCTCCAGGTGGTAGTTCTTCGGAGTTCCTCCGCGAACCGTGAAGTCTCTCGACGTGACATGTGCACCCTCCCCAATGTTGCAGTAGTATTGCTGCGGGAGGAGGAGGGAAGAGAGGCGGAACGGTCGTATAGCGGCAGCACTCATCATCATAATAATAACAGCCGTGTAAATCTTTTTGGGAATTGGCAGTCAAAATCATTAATTTACATTATTTTTTTCCCCGACGGAGGTTGATTCTTTTTCCTCCCCCCCCCCCTCCTTTTTTTTTTTTTCTTCTCCTTCCTTGCGGGGTGTATTTTATTACACTTCTATCACTCTTATTCCCGCTCTTGCTGTGGAGAGGATGTGGCGCGGCGGGAAGGCGGTAGGAAAAAACAACAAAAACGAGAAACACACGCCAACCACCACCACCACAGTATATATATAAAGGAACGAAAGGTACGTGTGCGGACAACAACAAAATAATAATTGAAATGAAACTCTTGCGTCTCTCCACAAAAGTTGGAATGGAGAGCAATAATGCGGCGTTGCGTGCGCATCTTTTGTCGCTCCGTGGCACGGAGCCTGTGGGGGACCCCAAGAACCCACTTCATGTGCAACTTCAAATACACGATGGCCACCGCAACACACTGCTGAGTCACACGAAGGAACTGTATGTAACCGCCCTACAACATCACTCGGAGACGTTTGTGAATGTAATTCCTCTTTTGCCCTTATCTGATGATGAATCTTCTCCCTCAAATGATGAGGGTACCAGTAACGACTCAATAACCCTGTTTAGTGCGGCGTCAATGACGGCGGACCGTGGGTTTACTCCGTTGTTTTCTCACGTGGCTCTTGGAGGAACCTTCGATCGCCTCCACGCTGGTCACAAGCTGTTGCTTACAACAGCGTTATTTTATGCTTCAAAGTCTCTGCGCATTGGCGTCACTTTGGAGTCGATGCTGAAGAAAAAAACATATGGCTCATATATTGAGCCATTTGAGACTCGCTGTAAATTGGTATCTGAGTTTCTGTACTCTGTGCGAAGGGATATTGATGTGACGGTTGTGGGAATCACGGAGCCGAGTGGTGGTACAAATCGCGATGCGGAAATTGAGGCATTGGTGGTGTCTCCTGAGACTGCGGGTGTTCTCGCGTCTATCAATGATGAGCGGGCGTCCTACGGGCTAAAACCACTAGAGTGCATCCAAATACCTTACGTAAGTGCAGAGGGAGATGGCCGTGTCAGCTCTACGGAGCTGCGCAGGCGGTTGCATGAGAACGCGAGCGGAGATAATTGACGTCTTTGGATTTACGGGCATCGCATGAAAAGAAAGTGGGCTTACGGAGGTGGAAGCCAGTGGAACTCCTGTGTCACTTCGATCTGGGTCTTTTTTTCCCGCAGCGCTCTTATGTTTATCTGTTTATTTATGTATTTATTTTTACTTTTAGCAAGTAATTACAACAGTGTAAAATGTGGGCTCAGATGATTAGCTGCTCTTCGCTCTGCAGTTTGTGGTGGCCGCATGTTAACATCATTTGGTTTGCAGTGTACTTTCTTTTGTTTTCAGCGAAGTTGAACATTCTCGTCCCACTGCTGGCAGGGGCGATGGCCACCTTCAACAACAACAACGGCAGGGCCTCAGAGGGGCATTGGATTTTTTCCTCCGCATTAAGTCTTGTCTTCCCAGGCCTTTTGGGCCGCGGCGCGTCCTAATGGCCGCAGTTATTTTTGCTCACTACATGACTTTCTTCGTGCGTCACAAGAAATCCTAAATTACTCGAAGGCAAACTTACGATGCCGTTGTGGAAACTGACTTTCTGAAATGACAGTGCTGGGGAAGACACAACCGGATCGCATTGCCACGGTGAGTTTTGTCCAATTGCTAAAACTCCATCTTTCTTAGCAAATGAACGTCGTCGCTTATTGAAGCTGCCCACAAAGGTTGCGCAGATCGCTGTTCTTGCCGTCCTGTTGGCCATTTTGCGGGCTGTGGGACGAGCTGCGGTTGCGGATGCTTTGAACGCAGTTCCCAATGCATCTCTCTTCTGAGAAAGTTGTGTCTCTTCCTCTTTTTCTGAGGATGAAGAATCCTGATCAAGCTTCTTTTAATGCTTTTTAGCGTTAATTAGTTCTTTTTTTTTGTCTGTGTGTGGTGCATCATATTTTTTTGTGTTATTTTTTTTTATCATTTTATTCTGTTTTGTTGCTTTTGTTTCTTTATGTCGGGAATTGTGTGTGCTGAAGGAATTCGTGAGCGAAGTAGTGACATGGGCATATGGGCGTTTTTTATTTTCTTTTGTTGGCGTGGGGAAGCGAAGGGATGATGGCGCTGAGATGGTCTGCAGGGTGTTTGTTCGGTATATATATATCTGTCACCCCGCTGCTTGATTGTGCACTGGCAGTGGCCGGGGGTGGGTTGCCTCTGAACCTCTTCGTGTTTTTTTTTTTGATTACTTCTGTAGTTTGTGGGTTGCCTGTGATGAATTTTTCAACTGTTGTGGGGGCGGATGGGGTGCCGCAGGAGGCGTTGCTTGTGCGGGAGCGGTCGTTGCTGCAAGAGGCAGAGGCGTGGGTTACCAGCCTTCGCGCCCGTCTGGGGGCGTTGGAGTCGCGTGCGTCGGATTACGGTGTTGGCCCGCCGCATTCAGCGGGTTCATATTCCGCGGAAAATGTGCGCCTGACGAACGGGGGGGCAGCGGCGTGCGGTGTGTCGCCCCCATCGCCGGTCATTTTTCGGGATGTGGAGGAGCCTCGGCAACCGCACGCAACGTTGCAGCAGCAGCAGCAGGCGTGTGCATCCCCGGGTGCCGCCGCGATGGGCGAGTGCCGCTTTTCCGGCTCTGACGAGGATGAAGAGTTGTGCGCCGCCAAAAGCGAAAACGCCGCACTTCTTGCCGCTGTTGAGGAGTGTCAACTGCGTCTCAGTGAATGGCGGCAACGTCGACGGGAACAACAACGACAACCTCCAGGGCTGAAAAAGACGTCGAGGGGGGACGATGGCGAGTGTGTTGGCGGTGCCCTCTCATTGCTTGCTCGCTGTAGTTTTGCGGAGGCAAAAAGAAATCGCCTGCACCGCGAAGTACAGGAGTTGTCGACAGCTTGCGACAACGAGCGTGCCGTTCATGCGTCTATTGCAGATGAATTGCATCATGTCTCTGCTTGGGCGGAGCGGGTTCACCGCAAACGTCTTCTGCTGATGACGGAGAGGGCAGTGACAATGGATCTAGCGCGGGAGGAGCACGCAAACGCCAGCATAACAGCCACACTGCAGGCGGTGCTGTCGAAACGCAGCAGCACAAATGGCTCTTTATGAGTTAGTTTGGCGTTTTCCTAGTGGCTGATTGATGAATGCTTTGTGTGCACCAGTTATGGTGCAGGAGTATCGACCTTATCGCTTTGGGGTGTCTTTGGCCAAGTATATTATTTATTTATTGGTTTTATTGCGTTGCCTCGCCTCTGAATTATTTTATTTCCTTCTTCCCAATACTCGTTTTTCTGTGACGACTTCTGCTTGCCTTCAAAGAACATATGAAAGGCTTTTATATGTGTGTAAATATGTGTCTTGCGTTTTTTTTTGTTTGTTTGACTGAGAGCTGGCTAGGAAGCTAATTAACGTACATTTGACTGATCAACAGGTGAGGGGTGGGTCTGCCAGAAGTAAAGGAGGGGGGTGTAGAACCAAAAAGATGAGTATGCGCATGTCCCCTGGGAAAATATATGCGGGTGGCGCGGCGATTATCATTGGACTAACGTTGTGGAATCGTTACTCGTCACGTCACCTTCGCGTTATTGTAGACAACATCAGAGAGGCGAAGATGCAGGAGGCGGAGCATTTAAAAAAAGGTGAGAAATAATGAGCAATGATGTGTGTGTGTGTGTGTGTTCATGGCGTGCTGGACCGTTGCGGATATCATCGTTTGCCCTCCTCTTTTTTTTTTTTCTTCTTTTGTTTTTCCGTGGTTTCTTTCCTTCGTGCTGTTTTACTTTTCCCCCGTCGTCTTTTTTTTCCTCCTTGTTGTAGTTTTTTCCTGTGATGTTTTGTTTTCCTCCTTCTTTTTTTTCTCTTTTCTTTTATCCCGTCCCTGTTGTCACTCAATCACTTGCCACGTTGGGCGAGAAACAGAGGAAGTCGGTTTCCGACTGCGTGGAGGGACGGGATGGCGCATTTACTCTCTTCACATGACCGCCAAGCCAACCACCACTTCACGTCGTGGGGCGAGGATGCGCAGAGTGCGCTGGACGAGACGGCCCTCAATGAGGCCTTTATGTACAGGCTGCGCAGGATGGAGGCGGCGTCGCGGCTCACAGACGAAATGATGGCACAAGTGCGGGCTATCGTTGACACCGAAGAAAACCCGTCGTATACGAGGACGACAGAGGAAATACCACCGTTCGCCAACAACGCATTGCGGAGACCACCAAAAGGAGGCGCGGACGCAAAACTGGACGCGGGTCGGACGATGGTGTTGGACGGGGTCACAATGCCACATTCGCCCGAAGTTGTCCTTCAGGATGAGATCAACCGGAAGATACAAAAAATACAGGAGATGAGAATGGAACAGCAGAGTGCCGCGGAGTCACAGGTCAAACCGACATTTCAGTTGGTTGAGAACTCAATGGAGTTGCCTGCTCCGCCGGAAGTGTTTACCTCCACTTCGCTTGCTTTTGCGTTGGAAGCTCTTGCCACGAGTGTTTCCAAAATTATTACCGCGACGGACAAAATTTTAGTACATCTTGCCTTGTTGAGCAGGAATAACTCACCGTCTGTATTCAAGGAGATGAATGTTTTCCTACTTTACTCAAAACATGCATGGCGCTGCTACAAATCAGTGTTGCAGCACCTGAAGCAACATGAGGTGTGTGCGAAGGCCTTGCAGGATGCCACTTTCCAAGAGCTGAGTAGCATGCGAGAGCAATTCCTGGTTCGTAAAGAGATGTTGACGGCACAGGAGCAAAAGCTAAAAGTTTCGGAGGAGCATCTTAGGGCAATGCGACTCCGGTTAAACAACCTTGATGCACAGTGTCACATGTGGTCAGGGGTGCTGCTTAATATCCCAACGCCGCCGCTTCTCGCGCCATCACCGACCGCATCGAGGCGCATTTCCGTTACGCGTGAACGTGAATCTCCTTCGCTTATTCGATCTCTTACAAACAGGTCTCAGAGTTTTGCCCCACGTGTGAGTACCGTTGGTAATTTTCCCGCGCAGCGAAGATCGAGTGTCCGTGTTTATACTCCCTTAGTGCTGCCGAATATTGAATCCTCAAGTTCCGTTTCCTCGACTGAAGAGGAATTGGAAAGTCGTTTGGACAACATGGAAGTCAAGGTTGCTCGATTTTGGAGCAATCCTTATGTTATGAAGGCACAGCAATGCGCGGGGCGGATTTGGCGACAGCGACATCAGGCTCAGCAGGAACGGACACCGACCTTAATCGAGGTCATGGGTCTTCCCACGCCTTCGCGGAAGGAATCGATACACCACCTTGGGTCATCGCTGCTTGTTGCAAGTGACTTGAACCGTCTGTCGGTGCATGGTAGTCTATACAAGGGAGGACACACCGCCGAAGGTGTGGACAAAGCAACGGCAGAGGCTCGCCTCATGTCTTTGCTGCGAAGTCTTTTAAGACTGGCGTCAAGCGTGACCGGCCAGACTGAGGCTACTGCGTCCTCGTCGACCGCAAAGCCTGAAGAAGGCGATGATTCAATGGAGCTGAGGATGGAAAACGGAGATGCGCCGAAGGTGACGAACTCCATCGAGGACGCTGGTGCTTTGGCGGCCCAAAGCGTGGTCGTCGACGCTGCGGGTGCCATGTCAGAGAGCGTCAGGAACCTTTTAAAGTTTCTTGAAGAAGCCTCCGTAACGACGACGTGAGGCGTTTTTTCATGTAAATCAAGTATGTTCTCCGTGTATGTACAAACGTGCGACGTTTATACATGACAAGCAAAGTGCAAACATATATATATATATATGTGTGTGGCCCTTTTATTCTTTTCAGGTCCTCTTGTATTTATTTATTTATTTATTTATTTTTTTGTACTTTTTGAAGGGAGGATATCAACCTAAAGCTCAGACAAATAAATCAATAGAAAAACCAAACAAAAAGCGAAAATAAGAGAACTGAAAAGCGAGATAAAAAAAAAGGAAAGAAAAAAAAGGAGGGAAAAACTTGTAGGGAGGAAAGAAGTGAGGGCGGTAAAAGGGGAGAAAAAGATCCATATCGCTCCTTCATCATGTCTCAGCATCACTATGTATTCAAGTACATCATCATTGGTGATAGTGGTGTGGGGAAGAGTTGCCTTCTGCTGCAGTTTACAGACAAGCGCTTTGAGCCGCTGCATGATCTGACAATTGGTGTAGAGTTTGGGGCTCGTGTGGTGACGATTCAGCAGAAAAACGTGAAGCTTCAGATTTGGGATACGGCGGGGCAGGAGAGTTTCCGCAGCATCACTCGGAGCTACTACCGTGGTGCCTGTGGTGCGCTTCTTGTGTACGACGTCACACGTCGC